AGACTGCCACTGCAGCCCCTCTGTAACCAACCGCCCTCCTCCCCAAGTTCCATAGCCTCCACACCCAGACGCCCAAGAACGCAGTGGGGGGGCCTCCGGCCAACCAGCCATTCCACCACAGAGGATTGCCCAAAAAAAAGAAGGCTGTCATTCAATAAATTTTAAAGTTGTAAACTTTTAAAGTGCTGTGCTTAAAGTGCTGTGTGGCATTTTCCTTCCCTCCTCCACCACCCCTCCTGGGATACCTTGGTAGTCATCCCCCTATTTGTGTGATGAATGAATAACGAATGCATGAATGTGAAGCAACAATGACTTTATTGGCTCTGCAAGCGGTGATCGAAGGGAGGAGGGGAGGGTGGTTAGCTTACAGGGAAGTAGAGTGAACCAAGGGGCGGGGGGGTTCATCAAGGAGAAACAAACAGAACTTTCACACCGTAGCCTGGCCAGTCATGAAACTGTTTTTCAAAGCTTCTCTGATGCGTACCGCGCCCTCCTGTGCTCTTCTAACCGCCCTGGTGTCTGGCTGCGCATAACCAGCAGCCAGGCGATTTGCCTCAACCTCCCACCCCTCCATAAACGTCTCCCCCTTACTCTCACAGATATTGTGGAGCACACAGCAAGCAGTAATAACAGTGGGAATATTGGTTTCGCTGAGGTCTAAGCGAGTCAGTAAACTGCGCCAGCGCGCCTTTAAACGTCCAAATGCACATTCTACCACCATTCTGCACTTGCTCAGCCTGTAGTTGAACAGCTCCTGACCACTGTCCAGGCTGCCTGTGTATGGCTTCATGAGCCATGGCATTAAGGGGTAGGCTGGGTCCCCAAAGATACATATAGGCATTTCAACATCCCCAACAGTTATTTTCTGGTCTGGGAATAAAGTCCCTTCCTGCAGCTTTTGAAACAGACCAGAGTTCCTGAAGATGCGAGCATCATGCACCTTTCCCGGCCATCCCACGTTGATGTTGGTGAAACGTCCCTTGTGATCCACCAGAGCTTGCAGCACTATCGAAAAGTACCCCTTGCGGTTTATGTACTCGGCGGCTTGGTGCTCCGGTGCCAAGATAGGGATATGGGTTCCGTCTATAGCCCCACCACAGTTAGGGAATCCCATTGCAGCAAAGCCATCCACTATGACCTGCACATTTCCCAGGGTCACTACCCTTGATATCAGCAGATCTTTGATTGCGTGGGCTACTTGCATCACAGCAGCCCCCACAGTAGATTTACCCACTCCAAATTGATTCCCAACTGACCGGTAGCTGTCTGGCGTTGCAAGCTTCCACAGGGCTATCGCCACTCGCTTCTCAACTGTGAGGGCTGCTCTCATCTTGGTATTCATGCGCTTCAGGGCAGGGGAAAGCAAGTCACAAAGTTCCATGAAAGTGCCCTTACGCATGCGAAAGTTTCGTAGCCACTGGGGATCGTCCCAGACCCGCAACACTATGCGGTCCCACCAGTCTGTGCTTGTTTCCCGAGCCCAGAATCGGCGTTCCACAGCATGAACCTGCCCCATTAGCACCATGATGCATGCATTGGCAGGGCCCATGCTTTCAGAGAAATCTGTGTCCATGTCCTGATCACTCACGGGACCGCGCTGACGTCGCCTCCTCGCCCGGTATCGCGTTGCCATGTTCTGGTGCTGCATATACTGCTGAATAATGCATGTGGTGGTTAATGTGCTCCTAATTGCCAAAGTGAGCTGAGCGGGCTCCATGCTTGCCGTGGTATGGCGTCCGCACAGAAAAAAGGCGCGGAACGATTGTCTGCCGTTGCTCTGACGGAGGGAGGGGCAACTGACGACACGGCTTACAGGGTTGGCTTCAGGGAGCTAAAATCAACAAAGGGGGTGCCTGTACATCAAGGAGTATTTCAGGCAGGACTGCACGGAGGGTTCCAATAAGAAATGGTGCACCTAAGTTATCGTTGTTATTGGAACAAGGAGGTTAGCCTGGCCTCTGATTGATACATGGCTAGATTTACCTCGCTGCACCTTCTCTGTGAGTGACTGCAGTGTGACCTAGAGGAATGAGTCCCCTAGACAGGGGAGGAGGCAAATGAGTACAAAACAAATCTGGTCTATTTCTTGTTTTGACCCACTCCATCTATCTTTTACATCTTTGGCTGGCAGCAGACGGTGCAGAAGGACTGCATGCCATCCACATCTCATGGCTGCTCGGCAGAAGATGGTACAGTACGACTGCTAGCAATCCTCATCTCTTGCCTGCCTGGCAGAAGATGGTACAGTACGACTGCTAGCAGTCCGTATCGCCTGCCCGCTCACCATAAGACGGTTCAATAGGACTGACTGCAGGACTAAAGAGAGTGACCTGGTCAAGTCACTCCAAATTTAGTCCCTGCGCCCATGTCTGCCCAGGCGCTCCCAGCCGACGCGGCCAGGAGCACCTCGGACACGACGAGGACGACTACCAATCGTATTGCACCGTCTGCTGCCAGAAGGCAATGGGTTGCTGCTACTGTGCAGCAAAGCCGTACCGCGTCTGCCAGCACCCAGGAGACATAGTGTGACGGTTACCTGAGCGGGCTCCATGCTTGCTGTGGTATGGCGTCTGCACAGGTAACTCAGGAAAAAAGGCGCGAAATGATTGTCTGCCCTTGCTTTCATGGAGGGAGGGAGGGAACGGGGGCCTGACGACACGTACCCAGAACCACCCGCGACAATGTTTTAGCCCCATCAGAGTGCTCCATTGTGACTGCTCTGGACAGCACTCTCAGATGCCCGATTGTTTGCCATTGCTCTGACGCTGGGAGGGGCGCTTACAGGGTTGGCTTCAGGGAGCTAAAATCAACAAAGGGGGTGGCTTTACATCAAGGAGTATTTCAGGCAGGACTTCACGGAGGGTTCCAATAAGAAATGGTGCACCTAAGTTATTGTCCTTATTGGAGCAAGAAGGTTAGCCTGGCCTCTGATTGATACATGGCTAGATTTACCTCGCTGCACCTTCTCTGTAAGTGACTGCAGTGTGATCTAGAAGAATGAGTCCCCTAGACAGGGGAGGGGGAAGCAAATGAGTACAAAACAAATCTGGTCTATTTCTTGTTTTGATCCACTCCATCTATCTTTTACATCTTTGGCTGGCAGCAGACGGTGCAGAAGGACTGCATGCCATCCACATCTCATGGCTGCTCGGCAGAAGATGGTACAGTACGACTGCAAGCAGTCCGTATCGCCTGCCCGCTCACCGTTAGACGGTTCAATAGGACTGACTGCAGGACTAAAGAGAATGACCTGGTCAAGTCACTCCAAATTTAGTCCCTGTGCCCATGTCTGCCCAGGCGCTCCTGATCGACCTCACAGAGGCGACCAGGAGCACCTCAGACATGACGATGATGGCTACCAGTCGTACTGTACCGTCTGCTGCCACAAGGCAAGGGGTTGCTGCTACTGTGTAGCAATGCCGTACCGCGTCTGCCAGCACCCAGGAGACATAGGGTGACGGTTACCTGAGCGGGCTCCATGCTTGCCATGGTATGGCGTCTGCACAGGTAACTCAGGAAAAAAGGCGCGAAATGATTGTCTGCCCTTGCTTTCACGGGGGGAGGGAGGGAAGGGGGGGCTGACGATATGTACCCAGAACCACCCGCGACAATGTTTTAGCCCCATCAGGCATTGGGATCTCAACCCAGAATTCCAATGGGCAGCAGAGACTGCGGGAACTGTGGGATAGCTACCCACAGTGCAACGCTCCGGAAGTCGACGCTTGCCTCGGTACTGTGGAAGCGCTCTGCCGAGTTAATGCACTTAATGCACTTAGAGCATTTTCTGTGGGGACACACACACTCGAATTTATAAAACCGATTTCTAAAAAACCGACTTCTATAAATTCGACCTTATTCCGTAGACATACCCTTAAAGAAGACAGGAAGTGACTTATGTAGAATAACCTGTTACCTTTGTAGTTTCATATATGTGCTTAATGATACATGGTTGCATGAAAACTCATCTTACCCATTCCTATAACAACCTTAATTCTTAGCCACAAGACACATACTCATGAATGCTTTTAGTTTATACATCACAAATATAATAATTATGGAATTAATGACTTAGATGTTCAAACATATCTATGTTGTTGTGTATGTTGAGAGTAGATAGCTGTCTTCTGTGTAAGAGTTGTTAAAGGAATGTGTAAGGTGAATTAGAGAGAAGATGAGTGAGGTAATACTGTCACATGTCAGTGTTAACTAAATGTATAAACTGTAAAGGATAATAGAATACATACAAATGTATTAGTCACTTCCTTAATACTTAGATAATGCTGTAGTTGTATATTTTGTATAATGGTTGTTAATTACTTCAGCAGCATTAACTCTTAAGTTAATAAAGATCTTTGTATGACAACGTGCTTGTGTGGTGAGAATATAATCCAGGCTTTTAGTATTTAGACGAACACCAAATTGTTGGCCTAGGGTTCAGTGATTAGCCAAGTGGTGTGGAACAGAGGACCCTTGCCACTGGAGGAGTGAGGAGAGGAGTTAGGGACAGAGTTTTGAAATAGGGAGGAAGATCTCTGAGAGCAGAGGGAGAGAGCTGGAATTGGGAAATGTGACTGCACAGGTAAAGAACGGGATGTGGGTCGAGTCTGTGTACTGAGGGTGTGACAGGAAGGAATAAGGTGGGTCGAATGAAAATTTTGCATCCTTGACAAGTAGCTGTAGAAAATACTCTGATTCAGTATAGCAGCCTTAAACATGTAAACCGGATAAGCATCAGTATATTCTGTTGGCTTACGAAAATTATTCAGTGTGTTCATTGAAACAAGTGCTCAAATTACAAAACAAAAGGAAATTACTCAGCATTTTTTCTGTGTAGAAGAATGATTATATGCTGTCAGTGTTGTTTCCTTATCTTTTTGTTGTCATTTGTGGAAAAATCTCCCCCAAAAACTGACAAGTAGCAGTGTTATGCTTCCTCCTTACTTTGCCCAGAGATTTTAAAGTTGTGCATGCTAAACTAAAATGTTACATTTTTAATCAAGGAACCTCCCTGCAAAACCAGCAGAAGAAGCACAGAAACATAGACAACAGTACGAAGAAATGGTGGTGCAAGCAAAAAAAAGAGGTGATGGATTTACTCTTACATCAGGAAGTGTAACGGGATGTTAAACCTAAAAATATACTTGCCTCAATAGGTGCCCTTTAATACGATGAACAGATTCAGTGCTGCCCCTTATAGAAAGCCCAATCCAGGAAAATGGGCAAAGGTGGTTTTAAATCATCCTTACGCTTCTCAGGTTCTAGGTCTGTTTGTGGGCTGGTGAGCACATGACATAAATTAAAGTAGCCTATAAGCTGCTCTAATTTACAGCGGCCTTAACTGCGCTGCCAGTGGCCTGTTCCACAGTACAGCATCTCCAAATGGTGGTGGAGATTACCATTAGGCCAGTGGCTGCAAGGGTCACTGTTTATAGCCTCTGCTGAGCTGGGGGAATTATCCACCAGCCAGTTGTGGTGCTTTTGCAGCCCCTCAGTCTAGAGGAATCCAGACACCTTTCCCCAGATGGTCTATTTTTCAAAAAAGAAGCTAAAATCCTCCAGAGAAGAGCTAAAGTTGTGTGACCGTTACTAATCCCATGATTCCACAAACCCACTGAAAAATCATTGGCCAAAGTATTTAATTGCTTTCTAATACTGAACTCTATTGAAATGCATCCCTCAGGTGGGATATTTTAAATGGGATCTTATTGGATGAGCACAGGGTTCTTTGTGAGTACATGTCAGAAAAAACATCCCATGGCTTAAATACTCTGAGGGGAATCTTTACAAAAACACTGCACTTTTTTGAGTTTGTATTGCAATCTCTGTCCTCTTCACTGACATGGGTATATGTGCCCCAGGCTCTGCTAGTGGTTTTCCTTATCTGCAGTTATTTGGTAGTGGAAATACCTCAGCCTCTCCCTAACTGTGCTGTGAACTCCAGGTGGACCTGGCACTGCGAATAGTAGATTCACCCTGCCATGCAGACTCCAGGTCTGACTGCTTCCCTGCACTGGGAAATGGTGATGGGCAGACAGAGTATGGTAACAAGGGGTAGCCTGAGACTGGGTCTTCTGAATATTTGTTCATGTCCAAGTCCTTGGAGATAATGTCCAGCCTGCTGGACAGCATGCCTAGGACCCCATGTAGTGATGCGAACCAAGGATCGGCTTGGTGCCTGCTCTGAATCCTCTACTGAAAGTGTTTACTGTAGGGGTTTTGAGTGTCTTTTGCCAAGCAGTAAATGTAATCTTCCCTTTCGTGTCAGTGCCGATCATGCAGCACCATATCACTATATCCATTTCACAGGCACCAATCCCAGGGAGTGCTTCCTTTCTCTGCTTGTACTGTAGGCAGTTCTTGCCCCTTGAGCACAAGTACGCCATCCAGGTTATGCTTATTGGACAAGCACTCCTACACTGTGTATAGGGCTAAAGAAATGCATGTTCATCTCCAGCTAAAGATTGAGGCTCACCTTCGTTTCTCTATACAGCTATTCCAACTCCATTTCTTCTCTGCAGCCCTGGTAATATATTACTTCGGGGGGGGGGGGGTTCTTTACCAAATATTAAAAATTCTGCACACAATATTTTAAAATTCTACAAAATTCTGCATATTTTATTTGTCAAACACAATATAATCATGCCAGTTTCAATTATTTTGGTAATTTTATTTCAAAATACCTGTCAGCAAGTATGTCTGTAACAATACAGATGATAAAAAAAGATTCAAAAAATATTTTTTGACACACAGATTCCTTAATAGATATATTCATACAGAACATTGAATAATCCATTTAAACGACAATGCAGAAACTTATTTCTCACATCCCTTAGAAGCAGTGCAAAGGCTTGGGGGGTCAGGGGTAATGGAGGACCTGAGGGAGAAGGAAGTAGTTTCTGGGAAAGAGCCTGGGTGTAAACTTGGAGGGTTGCCAGGTGTGGGTGGGAGAAGTGTGGAACAGGTTTTTTTAACGGCGGGGGAGGGATTGTTGCGGAGCCTCTCCCATGTAGACCCTGGCTGACCCCTAGTCTCCCCCATTCAGTCAGGCACATCTGTCCTGTCCCCGTGTGGCCCTGCACCCCAACTCAGCCATCGCTGTCCACATGTGTCCTTGCACTCCCCCACCCCTGGGGGCCCTACACACCCACTCCCATTCAGCCCCTGACTCAGTGCTGTCACCCCACTACCTCCTGTTCCTCCACCCCAGTCTGACCCATTCTGTCCATCGCCCCCCATATCCTGTGCCTCCTCATTTGGCCCTGCGAGTAAGGTGCTGTGAGGAATGCAGCCTCTCCTCCTCCCTCTCTGTGGTTGGCTGAACTGGCTGCCCTCTCTTCTGGCATCACAGCAGCCCTTAGTGGATGAAACATGTAACTACAGCACCTTCCTGGCACAACGTTTTCTGTGGGGCAGAAGGGTATCTATGGGGAGTCATCAATTCTGCATGTGTACAGTGGTGCAGAATTCCTTCAGGAGTAATACGTTGTTCTTTAAAGTGACTTACTATTCATTAATCACATCTGTTCTGTGAGACCTGAAATAGTACAATGTGTAAGAAATAGGGCTGTCAATTAATCGCGGTTAACTCATGCGATTAAATTTTTTTTAGTTAATCGCAGTTAATTGCAGTTTTAATCGCACTGTTGAACAATAGAATACCAATTGACATGTATTAAATATTTTTGGATGTTTTTCTACATTTTCAAATATATTTCAATTACAACACAGAATACCAAGTGTGCAGTGCTCACTTTATATTTTATTACAAATATTTTCATTGTAAAAATGATAAAAGAAATAGTATTTTTCAATTCACCTCATACAAGTACTGCAGTGAAATCTCTATCATGGAAGTGCAACGTACAAATGTAGATTTTTTGTTTGTTTTTTGATACAATAACTGCATTCAAAAACAAAACCATATAAAACTTTGAGCCTGCAAGTCCACTCAATCCTACTTCTTGTTCAGCCAATCACTAAGAAAAATGTTTGTTTACATTTACGGGAGATAATGCTGTGCAATTCTTATTTACAGTGTCACCTGAAAGTGAGAACAGGTGTTCGCATGGCACTTTTGCAGCTGACATTGCAAGGTATTTATATGCCAGATCTGCGAAACATTTGTATGCCTCTTCATGCTTCTGCCACCATTCCAGAGGACATGCTTCCATCCTGACTACGCTTATTTTAAAAAAAAAAAAAAAAATGCATTCGTTAAATTTATGACTAAACTCCTTTGGGGAGAATTGAATGTTTCCTGCTGTCTTACCCAAATTCTGCCATATATTTCATGTTATAACAGTCTCGGAGGATGACCCAGCACATATTGTTCGTTTTAAGACAACTTTCATTGCAGATTTGACAAAATGTGAAGAATGTACCAATGTGAAATTTCTAAAGATAGCTATAGTACTCGACCCAGTATTTAAGTATCTGAAGTGCCTTCCAAAATCTGAGAGGGACGAAGTGTGGAGCATGTTTTCAGAAGTCTTAAACGAGTAGCACTCTGATGTGGAAACTACAGAACCACCAAAAGGGAAAATCAACCTTCTGCTGTTGGTATCTGACTCAGATATCGAAAATGAACATACATCAGTCCACACTGCTTTGGATCGTTCTCTAGCAGAACCAGTCATCAGCATGGACGCATGTCCTCTGGAATGGTGGTTGAAGCATGAAGGGACATATGAATCTTTAGTGCATCTGGCAAGTAAATATCTTGCGATGCCAGCTATAACAGTGCTATGCGAACGCCCGTTCCCACACTGGGCTGAAATTGTAAACAAGAAGTGGGCAGGATTATCTCCTGCAAATGTAAACAAACTTGTTTGTCTGAGCAATTGGCTGTACAAGAAGTAGGACTGAGTGGACTTTCTAGGCTCTAAAGTTTAATGTTTTGTTATTGAATGCAGGTTTTTTTGGTACATCATTCTACATTTGTAAGATCAACTTTCATGATAGAGATTGCACTATAGTACTTGTATTAGCTGAACTGAAAAATACTATTGTTTTTTACAATGCCAATATTTGAAATAAAAAATGTAATCTGAGCACTGTACACTTTGTATTAAAATCGATATCTGAAAATGTAGAAACACCCAAAAATATTTAAATGGTTTTCTATTATTTAACAGCACAATTAAGATTAATTTTTTTATTGCGCAATTAATCAAGATTAATTTTTTATCATCGCTGGACAGCTCTAGTAAGAAAACAATGATATTGGGGGAAAATAAAAACTTACTATTTTCCTGTTTAATAGGAAAGTATAATATGAGTATAGATAGGCTCACAAAATAATTATTGCAAAATAAACATTGCAAGACAGTAGATACCGTCCTGAGGTTCCTACTCAGGCAGAGCTCCCGCTGTACTTAACCAAACAAAAAAAACTTTGAACTACTCAAGGTTGTGTATCAGTTTCACAAAGGACAATTCTCAATTGTTTCCCATGTAGCAATCGTGTCCTTTTGTTACCTTTATATAAAGGAAAGATGGAGCCTGTTCCCCAAGCACTTTAGTCTATTAAAAGTTTCAATCCAATAATAGTTTTGTGTGCATAAAAAATGAAGGATCAGGATGCATCTGGAAAAATGTGTATTACAGTATGTGGAAAGTGTTACATGAACAAGAGCACTAGGTCTTAATTTTTGTAAGTGAAGTAAATTTTAGTGCTCCTCAAAGATGCTAGAGTGGCAGTCTTACAGACTGACAGTTTCTAGTTAACCATGGAATAAGTTTAGGATAGGATGCAGCAATGGAAAGATTTGTGTGCTCCCCTAGCAATAGGCCTAAATTATATTCTTGGAGGACCACCTGTAGGAATGAGAGAGTAATCAAATATTCTTACCTGTACAGTCCTTGCCTCTGAGATTGCCAGGAAAGGTGGGTTTCTCTGTGTGTGTGTGTGTGATCTGGATACCCATCTACCAGGAACTAGATTGAGTTCATCAGTTTGATCCACAGAGGCTACCAGATGATAGCTTTCAGTTGCTACCCAACTTGGTTAGATTTGAACTGGTCACTGAGAGTGAAAGACTCCATATCCCATAAATTCTCTCATGTTTCATCTAGTCCATCCAAGATCATCCTTGTGTGTAGTTCAGTTGTGAACTGTGTTCACATTTGACATTGCTGATTACTGATGGCATATAGAAAATTGTAGTGTGTCTAGGATGTTCTTTAGCATTGCTTGAGAAGGTGAATGTGATTTCAGGCATATAATAAGTTGAATTTTTATGGCTGTGAAGCCCTTAATGTCTCTTACCTTTTGTATTACCTTTATTGACTTTGTAATTTTCTTTTTTCAGAGCTTAAAGAAGCCCAGAGGAGAAAGAAACTACTGGAAGAACGATGTAGACTGGAAGAAAGCATTGGCAATGCAGTTTTAATTTGGAACAATGAAATCTTGCCCAACTGGGAAACTATGTAAGACACAGTATGTTTTACATTGTGCTTAATGGTAACTTTCTATATCCTGATATATAGTAAAGGATTAGTCAAGATTACTTTATTTTTAGAGGTGCCAGAAGCTAGTGTGTATATCAGTCAAAGGTGACTTGCAAAAGGAATTGGCGTGTTTAAGGAAGACATTCAGGTGGTTCTGCCAAAGATGATGGAATTTTGTTAATTCAGTTTCCTTATTACCTTTAATAGAGTCTCAGAAATTAGACAATCAGACTGAACATAGTATATTATACACATAGTTATTACATAGAGCCATGTAGCCCTCTGTTTCCTGACTACAAAAACAACAAGGAGTCCTTGACTATACAGCCATATAATTTAAACTGGTTTGAGCATGTTAATTTATGGTCTCCCTTGCACGTGGAATAAAACCCATGTTTCAGAGATGTGCTTCATCACAATGGCCACTTCTCTGTAACTGCTGTTAATGAAAAGTAGTGAGTTTCTGAATCTTGCTTTAGTTCTTGGTGTGGGAGTTTAATTTGTGTCCATTTCTAATAACCTTTTCAGCATGTGGTATACAGCAATGATGTTCAAAAATAATCTAAGATCAGGGAGTGGTTGGTGTCTGGGACCTCTGTTAGAAAGCTACTAGAAAAAATAACACTTACAGCCATCTATTTGTCAGGACTTGATTCTCCTTGACTGCTTGGGCTTTTGATTTATGTACTCCCAGATGTGTCTGTAGATTTAAGCACAGGTATGACATTACTAATCCTCTTAATTTACATTGGGATACACCATGTATGCCAAACCAAGTGGTTGGAAAAAAAGAAATAGGGAAAACCATAGTTTAAAAAAAACAAAACAAAAAAAAACCCCAAACCCCTCTTTTCACAGCTAACACTTTTTAAAAGACATAGTGCAGGCAGTTAGCATGCCTAAAAACATCAGTGTGTTGCCTACTGTAACATTCGGCTGTTCACGTTTTTTAAGGGTTTTATTTGTTTCATTTCTGCTTATTTGACTTAGACAGTGATTCCTGAATGGAACTTTTACTCCTGGGGGAATTCTGTGGCAAAAAAATTAAAAATTCTATACACAATGTTTTAAAATTCTACAAAATTCTGCATATTTTTTGTCAAAATAACACAATATAATTATGCCAGTTTCAATTATTTTGGTAATTTATTTCAAAATGCCTGTCAGTGAGTATGTCTGTAACAATACAGAGGACAAAAAAGATTCAGGACATGTTTTTTTGACAAATAGATTCCTTATTAGGCATATTAATACAGAATTTTGAATAATTCATTTGAACGACAATACAGAAACTTATTTCCCACATCCCTTAAACAGTGCAAAGGCTTGGGAAGTCAGGGGTAATGGAGGAGCTGAGGGAGAAGGAAGTAGTTTCTGGGGAAAGCGCCTGCATGTCAACTTAGAGGGTTGCTGGGTGTGGGTGGGAGAAGTATGGAACAGGGTTGGGGGGGGGGGAGAAGGCAGGGGAGGAAGGGGAATGGAGGGATTGTTAGTGAGTTGGGGAACCTTCCCCATGCAGAGCCTGCCTGACCCCCTAGCCTCTCCCAATCAGTCAGGCACATCTTTCCCTGACTCCATGTGTCCCTGCACCCCGTACCCATGTTGCCCTGCACCCCATTCCCATTCATCCCCAGCCCAGTCTGTCCCCTCCACTAGCCTTTCTGAATCGTGGTCTATGTGACCACCCATAGCAAGCCCATGTGCCCCATTCTGTCTTTCTCCCACCTCTCCTCCCCCCATGCCTCCTAACCTGGCCCAGTGGGCAGGGTGCTGTGAGAAAAGCTGCCAGCTGCTATTGCCAGTGAGCTGGCTGCTCTGGTGTCACTGTAGCCTTTGGTGGGCAAAATACGTAACTGTAGCACCTCTCCAGCAAAATGTATTTTCTGCAGAGGAAAAAAAAGTCTGCCAGGGACATGAATTCTGCATGTGCACAGTGGTGCAGAATTCCCCCACAAGTCAACTTTGCATGATCATACCATAATGATCAAATGTGATATAAATAAAAGATTAAAAAGCAAATAAAAGATTAAAAACATCCTGGCCAGCTGTGTATTGGAATGTGTCGGGTACTTGATGAAGGAATTTCTAGAGAACAGAAAGAAGAAATTAAAAACCAATTAAAAATTTAAATCTCTATTTTAATAGTTGAAAGAGTCCTAATTTTACTTTATTAATTGTCCCTAAAACTCTTTTCGACTGACATTTGTAAAAGAAAGTAGTCAATCCCACAAACAAGGGCCTTGAAAGCTTACCATTTCTAGTTTATACAAAAGCATAACACAGACTTTCGGTTAGTGCCTTTCTTGTCGATTTACTGATCCTTAGAAATGTGAAAAATAGAATATTGTGATCAAAATAAATCCACTTGATTCAGTGGTTAATACAGCAGTATGTTAGGTGGATATGTTTCCATGGCTTTGCCTTCCCCTTAAACACACTTACCACTGGTGTTCAAATGCTTTCACAATCTTCCTCACAGCAGCCTTAGAATTATTGGCCATCAATTTAATACGGTTTAGAACTGTTTCACTGAAATGTTTTTGACTCTTGCTGTCTCCATCTCCAAATTTGCTACTTCACGTGCTGCAGCTATGTACCGTGCTTTCTGCTCCCAGAGAGTACACACAGCTTAACGGTTGGAAAATTTTCATCTCATGGGCAGGGTTATGAATGGGGGAGAAGATAATCTTTTATCACTGGAATGGAAATATATTTTATACTGCAGACCTGGGTTTGTCCAGTCTCTAGTTCATGCAATGGAAAGTTTTTTTTTCTTTCCCTTCTCCTAATCCTCCCTCCACTCTCTCTGCTTGCGCACTTTCTCTCTCTGTCTCTCTCACGTTGGCCCATACAGAGTGGCAGATTTCTAGCAGTCTTGGTTGCAGGGTTCCAGTCGAAAGCCTTCAGTTTGAGGAAGAAGGTAATGTTAAAACAAAGTTCGAAGTCTAGATAGTACAAAAGCATGAATGAGTGCTGCACAATCCCTGTCTGATTTCTCAGGCGGCCCATAGCAAGCTGACATACACCTGGGCCTGAATCCTCCAATGCAGTAACAACACCTTCTACTACCTATAGTTCAGTAGAACACATTTTATTTTAAACAGGTGCTGCTCCCGTAAAGTTCGAGAATTGTGGTGGCAAGGTATTCCTCCAAGCGTGAGAGGCAAAGTCTGGAGCTTGGCAATCAGCAATGAGTTAAATATCACCCATGGTGAGATTGACATGTATTCTGTCTGCATATTGAGACACTCAGATAAATCATGCTTTAGCAGAGAGACTTCCATTTAGTTAGAATGTGTTAGAATTTGGGGGAATGATGAAGTCATAGTCAGTTGTACTTTGCTTTCGTTTAAGGATACCACGTGTTTTTGCTCCACGCTGCGTATGGTCGTCTTATTCCATATGGGGTGTTTAATTTTGGGGGTGTTCTAGGGATTTTTTTTCCACTGCTCAGTCTGAGTCATAGTTCTGGAATATTGCTGCGCATTGCTTTGATAAGTAAAGATGTTCAGAGTTAACAACCCCATTTCAGAGTCAATAGAAAATAAGATATTTCATATAATTACTGTTAATTATGTAGTGCCTGTGGGTGTGCACATACTGGTTTTATTCTGAAGTGAGACACCTGGTCTGTGAGTGAAGGAGAGACTAACTTGGAACAAAACCTGCTGTGGAATTAGTCCTCCTTCCCACATGTTCATTAATGATGATATCAGTAATACATTAGTCTGTGTCCTTGATTTTGTACTATGTTATTCTTTCAGTCCTTTTATTTTTAACCATTCCAAAATGACAACAAAAGGGAAATGCTGTGGATTTGCCGATACTCTTGTGGTTTCCTTCTACTGCATATGCTTTTTCTGTGGCTGTTCAGTGTACCTCAGAAATTGCTATAGGATGGAACTGGAAGAATGTGTGTGCTAGTTGTCACAGTTCTGGGTGGAATTTTGAGTGCCAGAGGTCTGTTACCCAAACAGATGCTAAGAAATATTTATATAATCTGTTCCACCCAGACAGTTACTTCTGCTCACTGCATCTAAATTATATCCTGATGAAACAAATCTTCCAGCACCCTAGCTTACCTAAAATTCAATTAGTTTTTTACTTTACGGATACTTACTTTGTTTGTTTGTTATGGGGGGCAGGGGTTGTTAGCATGCTGACGTAATCAGTAATTGAAGATGGATTTTAAAAAGTACTTGTTTTTCAGAACTCTATGATATTTGCTTGGCTCGTGCCAAAGAGAGGTGGCGATCACTTAGCATAGGAGTCTCTGAAGGAGAATGTGAAGGTATATGTTTTATTTGGCAAAATATTATTCCGTATTGTGTGATAACTTCCTCTTCATTACAAAATGAAGAGGTGGTGGTTTTAAAATCATTCCTAAATGTTAAACTAAAATAATATAGTTTAAAAAAGCTGGAAGAAATATCATCACAGTAGGTGTGGGATATGTGGTTGGTAAAGGGGTATTAAAAACACTTCTGCAGGAAGGTAAAAAATGAAGTGTTAATCTCTTGCATGCGGTAGTTTACTGCATTATTTTCCTCTTTAACGTATCTTTAAATTCAGTTGTATATAATTTTTAAAAACTGTTTTTTGCAAAACTTTCCTTTACCAATAGCTTAAAGATTTTTGGATGAATGGTTTATATAAATATTTTAAGCTTGCTGTTTATGTTGTAATACCTTAAGATGTGTTGCTTTCTCTTCCTCTAGTTCAGGAGATCTAAATTCTTTGAAACTTTAGTAGTAGCAAATTGCTTTCTTAATAGCTCAGTGTAACATTGAGTTCCCATGAGAGAGCTGCAAGCCTATTGTTACAGACTCAGCTTGTTGAGATTTTTCCAGTTGGTTGGGTGTGGAGAGAAGAGATGAGAAAAAAAATCTGGGTGCTTGAAATAAGATACTTTAATCTGCGAGGATGACCACCTCTCTAAGGAGTGATGATGAGCAGAACCATGAATGCATTATACAAGGGCATTTCCCAAGGAAGTCCTGTTCTACTAAAACATCTTATTTAGGCTATAGGGATGCTATCTAATATAGTTGGGGGTTTTTTAGCTTCTTTGACTATTCATTGTCCAGAGTTTATATCAACATGTGGTTAGAGTAAGTGCTAGGTAGCAGCAACTTGTACGTTGCCTTCTCTTCAAAAACCCAAGCAGGTAGAGTTGATACTTAGCAGGACAGACAAAACATGAATAGATAGGAATGTTTGGACACTGTGGGGGGAAAAGTTCATGTTGTAGGTGCATGTTTTCTTTGATTAAAATTCATTTAAGAAGTTGCTGGGGAAATATTACAATTCTGCATCATCTGTAAATGTAAATGCAATGCCAAATTAAATGTGCAAAATACCAAATTTACTCGGTGTATGAGACATGGGATCACTTTAGTTACGTCTTTTGCAGAAAATTTACATAGGTGCCTTCCAAAAAACCTTTAGCTAGAAGTTAGAGGTGTAGGACAGAAGCTGTCAGTCTCTATTTCAGTTACCCTTATGCAAAACCAATCTTTTTCAGAGCGGTTACTTGCTCTGCAGGCCCTCGGCATCCTAGTGTATGGTACACGGGTTTGTGTATGCCCCCTGACTTGGCAGTAGTGCCTTCTTCTCTCTGATATCACTGCATTCAGACTTATTCAGGAATAACCTGCACTATGGGATGGCTTCAAGCCTGTGTGTGTATATTAAAAGGTATTAAACACAAAATTGTATTTTGATTTCTGCAGATGCTGGATTTTCTGCAGCAGACAGGGAAGCAAGTCTGGAATTAATAAAACTGGATATTTCTAGAACGTTTCCCAATCTCTGTATTTTTCAGCAAGTAAGCGATTTAATTTTTAATCACACAGTATTTCTCAGTGTACACTTAAGTAGTAAAAACAAATTTTTGAAAAATCTGCACTGAAGTACAGTAACTCCTCACTTAAAGTCATCCCGGTTAACGTCGTTTCATTGTTACATTGCTGATCAATTAGGGAACAGGCTCCTTTAAAGTTGTGCAGTGCTCCCTTCTAATGTCGTTTGGTAGCCGCCTGCTTTGTCCACTGCTTGCAGGAAGAGCAGCCCATTAGAGCTCCCCATTTCCCTAAGTTCCCTGTGCAGCAGGTGCCCAGCAGGCTATCAATTGTCAACAGTTCAGCTGTCCCTCCCCTGACTGCCATGTGTTGCTCCTGCCCTCTGCCTGGGAGCCTCCTACTTGCTGTGCGGGGGGGGGCGGCGCTAATGTCAGGGTGTCCCCCTCCCCAGCTCCTGCACCCCGCTTACCCCATCTTCCATAGAGTGGAGGGGACATAACAGGGTTCAGGACCGAGGGAGCTTCCCTGGCAGCAGCTTCTGTCTCAACTTGCTGATCTATTTAAAATGGCAGTTAACTTAGGGTGGGGTCAACGTACTTAAAGGGGCCTTGTGCAGCTCGCGCGCGCTCTCTCTCTCACTCACACTGTGTTTCTGTCTGCTATGCTGTCTCCCCTCCCTCCATTCGTGGTGCCTTGTAGAGTGTGAGGCTACATTAACAGCAATGGGTTAACCCCTGAGGGCTCAGCTGATTGCTAGTTCATCATTTAGCAGTAGGGCATTCCCTGGGAAATATCCCACCCTCTGACTTCAACACCTCAACCAAGCTGCACAACCAAGCTGCACAATCATCGTTGTGTACTAGTATTAAATTGTTTTTTTTTAAACTTAGAGTGTGCGCACATGCACAGTCTTTTTTGTCTGGTGAAAAAATTTTCCCTAGAACCTACCTTCCCCCTCCCCCATTTACATGAATTCCTATGGGGAAATGGGATTCGCTTAACATTGTTTCGCTTAAAGTCACATTTTTCAGGAACATAACTACAATGTTAAGCGAGGAGTTACTGTAGGTTTATTTTGTGTTCTCGGTGTAGAAGTCTTAAATACCAACATGCAAGTTTGTACTAAAGTGATTAATATATATGAGTAGTTTGTGGTAAAATTCATGTCTGGTGTTCCTGAATGATAAGTATAAAAGATTTCAGCAGAGCCTAAGACTGCTCAGTGTAATGTATGGCAACATGTAAGACTTCTCAGGGCTTGAAATTAACATAGCTTTTATGGGAATCCTCCTTAATATGCTGCGACTGTTCTTGCTCTCCCTTTCTTCATGGCTCAACCCTACTGCTAGTCTAATAGATAGAGCTAAACCAACTTGATTAGTGTTCAGCTTCCTTGGTACTAATATGTAACAATGCATAAAGCCGTAGTGTGTTTCTAATGCTTATGTCCTTCTGCACTTTGGTCATTAACCTGTTGGACAAACTGAATGTGTTTGGAATAAATAGGCATGGGGAGGTGTTCCTTAGTCACATTACAGTGATGCATTCCACATAAAAGTTGAAAGTTTCTGATTTTTTTCAAAGAAGTCTAGGGCAGGGTTCTCAAACTTCATCACATTGTGACCTCCTTCTGACAACAAATATTACTACATGATCCCAAGAGGGGGAATGAAGCCTGAGCCCCCTCCGGGCGGGGAGAACAAAATCCAAACCCCACCACCCTGGGCAGGGGGGCCTGTAACCTGACCCTCCCCCGCCCCCCACCAAGGGATGAAGCTGAAGCCCAAGTCCAGGGTGGTGGAGCTCGGATTGCAGCTTTGGCCCCAGGTCCCAGCCAGTCTAAGGCCAGCCCTGGTGACCCCATTAAAATGGGGTAGCGACCCACTTTAGGGTCCTGACCCTCAATTTGAGAACCGCTGGGGATTTGGGCACATCTTTTATTAAAATTACTAGCCTATGTGTCTAAGGGTATGTCTACACAGCAAAGAAAAACCCACAGCTGGCCCATGCCAGCTGATTCAGGCTCACGGGGCTTGGGCTGCAGGGCTGTTTCATTGCTATGTGGACTTCTGGGCTCAAGCTGGAGCCCAGGCTCTAGGATCTTGCGAGCACAGGAATGAAGCAGCCCCACAGCCTGAGCCTGAGTCATACACTAAATCCTCTACACAGCTTTGGATCCTCTCTCATTGTGGATATTTACAGAAGTTGTACGAATCATTTTTTATTTTTCGTTATAGGGTGGTCCTTACCATGACACGTTGCACAGTATTTTAGGAGCCTATACGTGTTACAGACCCGATGTTGGCTATGTAAGTGAAGTTATATGTTGCAATTATGTGAGAGTTTCTGTTCACTTGCTAGGCTGTTCTAAAATGATTTTGTGAGGATTTTTGGTTTTGCTGTACATCTTTGGTTACCTTTTGGTATATTTTATACAAAATGTTGTGTCAAGGGATATGTGCACTGTTATGTTTTGCTGTTACACTGCTAGATTTGAATGTTTTAATGAAGTAGAGATAAGACTTTAACAAAATCTAGGGCGCACATATGTGCTGAATGAAAATTGAAATATAAGCCATCTGGTTAAGTCACTCTTCTGAACCACATACTGTATTTCAGTGCAGTCTTATTGAGGTGACAGCTTGTTAAAATTGTATCTCTTCTCCAAGATGGCCTCTGTGTTCACACTTCTGGGATGTGTGCCCCAGCACTGCAAAGCTTCTGGAACATTCTGTAAAGCAGTACCCATTGGGACTGCGTAAGCTCCCTCACACCACTGAACAGTCGGAGTGCAGGTTATAAAAGGACTATATGGCCGCAGCTGGTTCATTCAGTTGTTTTTCCATGGCCAGCTGTGGACATAAAGTTATTCAGTCTGGCTCTGGATCAGTTATTTTTGGCAGGGTGGGAGTGGAGGAGGTGGTAATACCCCAAACCAGAATTTCCTTTTCCTCTTTTGTCAGTTAGTATATTTACGATGTTTCAGTAGTATATTTACGATGTTTCAGTAGTTGTTTCTGTGATTTTTGGTTGATCTGTTTCCTGAGGAACGGGAGAAGGGCAGATATATATGATAGAGTTCATGGTTCTCTGTTCGTGGAGGACAGTATGTACACCCACTGTTCTAAACATCTGCATCTTCACAATTCAGGCCTACTTGGATTGGCAGCAGAGGCTCCAAGCTTTCCTCACTGAGGAGGCCAGGTCCCTTGATCCAGCATCAGATCTGTTTATACCTCTGAAAAGGGATAGCAGAGACCATTTTTGGCTTCATTGTCAGGCAAATCAGGATAAGAAATCTCAGTTGGACAGATTAGAAACCTTAGGTCCCTAAAAGGGATGGAAATGGGTGGTTAAGTAGGCAACATAGCGCTCAAATACATGGTGCCTTAGTCCATGCTAGCTGGGGTGTAAATCCTAATGGCGGTGGACCCTGCTGGTCCACTAAAAATTCCCTAGTGCACATTAACATAGTACAGTCTGAAACAGGACTACACGAATGCTCATTTGGGGACTTGTAGCATGTGCCAGCAGGATCCACATAGGCTAGTTAGTGCACAGCATGCTGGTTTGCACTGGAGTTTACAGCCCAGCTGGTGTGGACAAAGTCACTGTGTAGACAAGCTCATAGAGTGGATTAGTTTTACATATGTTAACCAAATCACCTCCAGCAACTAGCAGTGAATAGAAATTATACTCCATGCTGCAAAGAAATGAATGAAAGAATCTACAAAGGGAAGAGAGGAAGGGAGGGAAATAGATGTTAAACTGTCTCTGGACTCTCAGGAAACATGCCCCATCTGAGGTCTTGCAGACAGGGAAAACATACGAATAGTCAGTGGTAAAGCAGATATGAGGCGCTTCCCATTGTCCTACTTCATTTGTTGAAGAGGCTGCCCTTTCTGGTACTAAAGGTGGTAGAAACCACTGGACTTAAGATGACTGTGGCACTGGTAGGAGGCTGAAGTGTAGGTCCTCATCCTCTGGTCAAGTTTCAGGAACCCCAAAAGCTGGCAGTGGACTTGGTGGTGGTCTCTTTCTCAAGTGTTTCCTCCATCTTCAGGCAGAAAAGATTCTTCCCTTCAAATGGGAGGTCTTCCATAGAGGGGTGTGTGTGTGTGTCTGATAAAAGGCCAGACAACTGGAGCCAAAGTTTATAGTTTCAGAAATATCTGGTGCTGCGATCAGAACTGCTGCAAATGTCCATGCAATAGCAGTAGTCAACTAAGTGGTTGTGGCAGAGTAGTGAGGCACATTAGCTGGGGTAAGTCTTAATACCTGAAGGCCTTACTAAGGGCTCACTCTCCCAGATCTAAAGTTGTAGTGATGGCATGCCTTTACTATTTCCATCAGAGATCTGTAGGGCTGCTATTTGTAGTACTATTTATGCCTTTATTCAGTACTTCTGTCTATCAACATAGTGTTTAGCTCTGATATTTCAGGAGAGCAGTCCTTGTTTAATGCCACAACCCAGCTTTCTGCAAGTGGGACCCAGGCACAGGCCACCTCAGAAGGAGAAGTAACTGGTTATTTGAGAGCCTTGGCTCTGCATACTCACACTTCTGTCATCCTTTCCTTTTCCTGAGGGCTCTTTGGTTTACTGAAAAGAACTGAGATGGTTGTGGCCTTGTTAGAACCTCTGCTGTGAAAATTTGATGCCTTGAGAGAGGATGCTTGTGTGGCCACAATAAGCACATCCTCCTGGAAGGTTTACAAAACTCAGTGGTGCATCGCACAAGTATGATTGTGAAAAGGCAACATTTTTGTAGAAATAGGTTACTCACCAGTCACTGTATCTTCTTTCTTTAGGTTCAGGGCATGTCATTCATAGCTGCAGTATTGATCTTGAATTTGGATACTGCAGACGCCTTCATTGCTTTTTCTAACCTTCTGAATAAACCCTGTCAGATGGCATTTTTTCGAGTGGACCATGGCCTTGTAAGTACACAGGAAACGCTAATCCCTTTATGCTTATATTGAAGATCTGTTCAGGTACAAGACAGAACTTCAGCAAGGGTTCATAGTCTGTTTTTCAAAGTTCTATCTAACATCTATTTTTAAAGCAACAGTTAAAAAATAAAAGTTACTGAAAGGGGGAAACTGAATGAAATAGCTGCCCAGTACTGTGTGATGCTCAGAGATTATTATGAGCATGATTATTCTAAGTGCAATTTAATGCATGCATTGTATATGGGAGCCCAACTCAGCTTAACAGCCTTACAAAAATGGATTGGACCACTTTTTATCCCAAACTAATAGGTTGCTAAAAATAAACTGTTGATGCTCTACAATTTGAATCAGGTTTCCCATTTTTCTCTCTCTCTCTCATAGTTCTGCTGTGTCAGCTGGGATTTGAGAGTTAGCTAAGGGAACTGGGCAACCAAATCCTTACTTCCTTAGGCTTCTTTGAAATTCCCAGCTGGCATGTATAACAGACTACATGGGGAACATACCAAAATTTCCAAACTTCATTCCAGTTGTATTAGCTCTTACAGATCTGCTGTAGCTGCCTTATGACTTTTTTTTGAAAATCGCTTTGTTTGACAAATATGTGATGTTCTGTACATCTTCCCTATTTTTCCTTTTTAAACTAGAAGTATATGCATAAAAATAGGATATTAGTTCCTTAAAAGTTCAAGTGGGGAAAACCGGTAGCGGGAACAGAGTGATCACTGTGGGAGTTACTGTCAGCATTTCCTCCCTAGCCCTTGTATAATAGGAGACTGATACATGTGACTGCTCTGTTGCAATTCCTGAAACTCATCAGCAGTAGAAGCCTTTAAGGTGGCGTGTTGCAACTCAATTCACATTGGCAGCAGCAAGATCAATCTTGTTCTGACTCCCGTTGGCTGCACTCAGCAATAGAGAGGGAGCACTGTTATGCTCACGCGCACAAATACATTACCCAGGAGGCTGGCAGCAGAGTGATACTTGCTAGAACAACTTTTTTTTCCAGTGGAAAGTTAGTGCCTTGGTAGCCCACAGGACTATTGCCTACAAATCAGTTTTAGCCCCTGTTAACTAAATGGGAGGCATAGTAAACAAATGCTTTTAGGAAAGTGGTGGCAGTGAGAAATTGTGGAAATAATACTACAGTATTCCCCAACTGCCTATCCTAGATTAAAATCCTAGGGAAAATCTTGCCACCCTTATGTAGTAAGATGTAGTAAGGAAAAAGCAACAGACTTGATAGGATGATTTAAAGTGAGGATGAGTTTTCTGATGGTTAGTAAGGGGAGCTTGAGATGGGATGTCTTTCCAGATCCAACGCTGATCTGCTGTGTAACTTAATCTTCCTGTGCCTGTTCAACCATCTGTGGAACAGATATGATAATCCGACACTAAACTTCTCTGAAGGTAAATGAGATTTATTGATCCAAGAGGTAAATTCAATAAATCTTGATTGCCAGAATGAGAAATCAACATGTACTATTCATGCATTCTTAACGTTTCCTAAACCATCTGGAAATGTTCAATTTATGGCTATAGCACTGTTAGTACTACTAGTACTTCTAGTAATTTAATGATTTTTTTTTTGTATCTTGCTGAGTAATTTGCTATATTAAATTCATGTTACTTCATGACTCTATAGTTACATATTCATTTCAGAACTTCACTTTATTCCGCTTATAAATAAAAATTATATATCCGTGCTCTTGTGGTGTTCACAATATTTGAAACATGCCATATATTTAAGAAAATGGTAGAAGACACTATAATGTCACACACAATCTTGAGTAAACATACCTACCAATTAATCCGTCAGGATCAAGATAAAATACCCCTTCAACTATTTCAATTCTAATAAGACTGTCTAATGAAAGCAATACAGTACCAAATTTTTCAGACCATTTTAAGAGTATTGCATAAAATACAGTGTCTGGAATGCTGTGCAATTGCAAGGCGTTGGTCTGTACTGGCATTAACATCTAAATATTAAGATAGTTTAGAAGCTAGGACTGGATGTTGCATTACCTACCTACATTTAGATTTTTTAAATTACATTATAGAGCAATAGAATTCACAGCCAGCTGCAGGAATTCTGTACTGTTAATAATGCATAACTGGACAATTTTTTTTTTCCAGTTCCCTGCACTCTAGTTCTGATTTGCATGTTCACTGTACAGCTTTTTCTCAATGACACATTGAATGCAGGGATTTTGCACAATTATTGTATAATTTCTGTGCCATGTAATCACTCTTTGATTGGTTGCTCTAAGTTCTTATTGTGCTCCTTGGCTCAGTTTTCCAGCCGTTTGCTTAACACTCCAGTCAGCTGAAACAGAAAAGCTCCAGAATGTACATGGAAAAGAAGAAGAAAAATATTAAAAAGCAAAGAAAATGGGTTTGTTAAAGGGGACTTTAAAAAAAAAAATTGGACTCGCTTCCATTCTTCCTTCCATCCACTTCACTTTCCCTTGTGTCATACCAGCAGGATGCTTGTTCCCACCACAACTGTTGTATTTGTGTTGGGAGAATCTCAGTCTTTTCCTGCCATTTTAGTTTTGGTGCATCTTGTAACCAAAAATATATTAATGGGGGAGGAGAAGGAAGAACCTTGCTGAGCCAGTGGGATTGAGAGAAGGCATGATGGGGGAGGAGCAAGAAAAGAGCAAATATTTTGTTAACTCTTTAACAATTTACCTCTCCACATGTGTGACACATCATATTGTGTTTTGTATTTTATCTGGATATTTAATCATCAGATTTCACAATCCATTTCTGTCCTTTTATTAAAGGTCTAGTAGGGCATTGGACTGGGAGTCCAACTGGTTTCTGTTTCCGTCTTTGGTACTGATTTGAAGAGTGAGCTTCAGCCTTCTCTGTTTCCCCTCCTGTAAAATGCAAATGATGCTGACCCTCCTTCGTAAATCACTTTGGATACTATGAGTGAAAATTGTGTGTAAGAGTATAACTTGTCATTATTAATTCTCTAATAAGGGTTCATAAACTTCTTAGCTCCCAACCTTACTTTATTGCCTGTAAACTCTTTGGACTGGAATTCATTCAGTCTAAGATTATTACTGCATAAACGGAAAGCACCCTTAAGTTATCATAATCATAATAAACTTCCATTGCATTTAAGTGTAGTAGCCAGTAAATTGCTTATTTCACCTGCTGGTGTTTTTCTTTCTGAAAGGAAACTGACCTAGATCCAAAACAATAATTTCTTCCATTGAACAGATTTAGGAGGATAGAAGGAATGGAACTCAAACATACATGCACATTCAGGCACTTAAATCCTTTGTGTAAACATTTGGCTATGTATTTTACAGTGTATAATTCATATTGTTGGGGTTTTGTGCCCGCTTCAAGAAGCGGTCCTGAAATTAAGTTCCTTAGAACTTTAATCGGGGAAAAAACCGTTCACTAATACCTAATGATTCTTCTTTCATTTTTCCCAGATGTTGACCTATTTTGCAGCATTTGAGGTATTCTTTGAAGAAAATCTGCCAAAGTTATTTGCTCACTTCAAAAAAAATAACTTGACTCCTGACATCTATCTTATTGATTGGTAAGACTGTCAAAGTATTGTATAATTTTAAATGTGTACATACTAGCTTTTAGCGTCATATATATGTTTATATAATAGATAACAATGAGTTTACAAAAATTGTAGAGATTAGGTCAGCATTTCTATTTAAGTACTTTCTTTCAGCAAAGAACTTTGTTTCAAAACTGTATACTGTTAAAATGTAGTTTTTATGTTAAAATTGAAACAAACTCCTATCCACGCTATAAGTAGAAACTTATTTCTATAAGCAGTTTGTGACATTCCTCTAACCTTTTTATCATACTCCATGGCTGAGTTGTGTCCATGCATCAGCTTATTTCACAAAACAGCTGTATGTCAGAGTTTGCACCTCCCTATCTGCCACACATTTGAATCTGCATTCTGGGAAAATCTGGTAGCTATCCCATACTGCATGAGTAGGCGATAAAGTGCCTGGGAGACATGCATATAGAACAGCACATGGGTAGGCGCAGCATTAGATTTTCTGCACAGAGGTGGGAGGAAGGAGAACCAGAAAAACAGGTTGCACAGGCATGACGATACAGTTTTTGGCCACACAACAATATATCAGTGGTATAAGGAGGACAAATGTGTTGTCTAAGGCCTCTATCTAGTTGGATGAATTATGGTTAGTTTTCAGAGTTAACACAGTATTAACTGTGGGGTGTGTGGACACAAATCAAGTTTATAGCCAACTGTGCCACTAGTTGGTACAGACCAGTTAAAAGTTAAAGTATAGAAAGGGACATAAAGTTTTGATTAGGAGAGAACAAAAGAGTATCTGTTGGCAGTTGAAAGTGTTTTGAAATATGAAATTGCCTTCAGTTAGTCCTTAATCAGAGCTAGTGCCTTTTGACTAGAAATGGAACCACAAATCTGAACCCCTTAAAGTTTCAGGGTGAGGAAAGGAGTTGGATTTGAATCTCTGAATATGAGGCTGCTACTGGTGTTTTGGTAGCATGTTGGCTTCAGAACTCCAAGGGGACTGTTTGCAAGTTTAGGTTTGTATGCAGCTGAAACTTCATTAACGGCTGATCAAGCAAGATTTCAACCATTTGTCTTGATTAAAATGTTGTATTCTGATCCTGAGATTTCCATGTTAAATTGGCTTAACAGTTTAAAAGTGAAAAGAAAAGGAATACTTGTGGCACCTTAGAGACTAACAGATTTATTTGAGCATAAGCTTTCGTGAGCTACAGCTCACTTCATCGGATGCATTCAGTTTAAAAGTGGTTAATCAGTGTGTGCTATCACAACTTCTCACATTTAATGTATCCTTTGCGTAAGCTCCTTTAATATAAGTGGAGACACGCTATTGTAAAGGTTGTTGTCAATAGCTACCGGTGTGGTGCTCTGCTCTTCTTCAATGATAACAGTCGGCTGCGTGCGTGTTCCCTCTGTGTGCTGCCCCAGCTCTGCACAGATAGCTGACACAGCAGACCTGAGAGAACCCCCAAAGACCACAGACTTTCTAGTAAGGTACAAAGGCACCCAGCCAGGTTTATTGTCAAACGAAGGACAGTAATCGTTTCCTATAGACTCTACTGGACATACTACGAATATGTGCCCCCTGGCAATGGACACAGCTCAGTCAGTGGTGGGACACTCCACTGCCCCTTAGGCTGGAAGACTGTGCCGTTCCAGACCTATTCTTATACAAGTGCAGAACAGATTACTCATCCCTCCTGATGTATTGAGGTGCAGCCCCTTTACGCATTACGGTGCTGCTTCTCCCCTGTTACATGTTGGTTCAAACAAATCTATCCATCATGTTATCCTTTTGACCCTGTCTTTAAGATGCACCTGCCTGTTCCTTATCTCTGTAGAGTGTTCTGATGCCATCTTGGCACAAGTTCCTCTTATTAGCACTTATGTGTGGATGCACCTGCTTCTAGCAGCCCTCTTCTTGCCAACTTCTGTGTGTGGGGCCTGCCTCTGGCTCACAGCCCAGCCTTTGCTTAGCAATGCCTGGAAATACTTTGGTTCAGGCTTCAGGCCTCAGACTGGGCCTCTGATACAAGAGTTTGTTTCAGGGCCTCATCTTACTACAAAGGTGTTTCTCCTTCCTAAACTACCTGTGCAGCCCCAGAGTTTTGGGGTTTGGCACACCAGCCACAGTATACCCATACATGCATCAGTGCAGGAGACTTCCTCAAATTCTAAGTACTGCTAAGTAACTTAGATAGGTTTGTATTGTCAGTTTTTTGTGCTGTGGCTAGGTTGGATAAACTCACTGTTTGAGACTGGAAAACCACATTACCATTCAAATATGGTCAGATTACATCCAGAAATCTCTGCTAATGGTTGAACCTGTTTTACATTTCAGCCTTAACCATACATTCCTTTCAGTTGGTTTGTTGTGCACAGTTAACATTTTTTAAATATTATACTTGGTTGGAAAATGCCTTGGTGTTTAATGGCTCAGTGTCTAAAATGGGAAATGAATTTGGGTGCCTCTATTTTGGTGTGGTCAACTGGAGACCCCTAGAAGGGATCTGATTTTCAGAAAGTGTTGCGTATATGTCCTCTGAAAATCAGGCACTTTGAGATGTTTAATTTTAAATACTCCAAAACTGAGGCTCCTAAAATAAAAATAATACCTCTTATATAGCGCTTTTGATCAGTAGATCTCAAAACACTTCAGGCTTGCATATGTTTGTTCTCACCACACCCCTGTGAGGTAGGGAAGTATTATTCCGATTTTACAGATCAGTCAATCACTTTTGAAGACCTTGAACACAAAACTACACAAATAGCATGAGTATAATAGAGAGTTTGTATTGAAATCTAGGTTTGATATGTTAATGATCTTCAAGAGCTATTTATCTGTTAATGCACCAACATTGTGCTTACACAGTGTTCACTGACTTTAAGATTTGTTCCATCTCTGGTCCAAGGTGCTTGCAGTCTGAGACGGATACATAGCACAAGACATACCAGGAGATCCAAAGGAGAGTGCAAATTTAGGGTATTCGGATTTTGTTCACTTCTTTAATGTAAAATTGGAATGGAAAAGCTGTGGTGTAGGTAGTGTGTGTATGTGTATGGTGGGGGAGCAGGGAGAGATGAACCTTTGCGAGGGATTGCAGTAATGGAAGGATGAGGACATGTTGAGTTGTGGCTGGGATGCTGTTTCATGCACAGGGATAGCATGAAAGAAGGCATGAGAGTGGGAGTAGGAGGTGCACAAAGCCTTGGAAGCAACCTTGAAAAGCTTTGGCAAGGGGCAAGTGGGGAAGCCAGTGGAGAGGAGTCAAAGATGTCAGATACAGCAGCGATTCTCAGCCAGGGGTCCAGGGTCCCCTGGTGGGCCGCAAGCAAGTTTTAGGGGGGCTGCCAAGTACAGCCAGCATTCGACTCACTGGGGCCCAGAGTAAAACGTTGAAGCCCCACTGCATGGGGCTGAAGCCCAAGGCCCTGAGTCCCGCTACCTGAAGGGCTGAAGCTTACACCTGAGCAATGTAGCTTTGTGGGGGGGCCCTTTGGCATGGGGCCAGATTATTTAATTATGTCATAATCATACCCCCATGATGAATATGGGGTGTAGTGTCGCACCTTCTTCTTAAGAATGGATTTAAACCTGCCCTGCCACGCCCTGTAATTCACTGTGGTTATAGGTAGGGAGTTTGGGACCAGATGGAAGTAAAAGATCTTGCACCAGGATGAAATAACGTTTCTCTGTATGCTTTACAGTATGTGATACCAAACACAACATGCTCCAGAGGACCTTTTTCAGGCTCTAGAAGTGCATGACTGCTTCCCAGGAGCAGACAGCTGCAGGTTATCCACTAACTTATGGGTATTCTCCTGCAAGATCTCTGCTTGAATGCCCAGTGAAACAGCCATGTGCTGCAAAATGTCCTTATGGGCCTTGAAATCCTTCAGCATTGGAGAAGAGGAAGAACTAGGCACTGCTTTATTGTGTGGTATGAAGAAGGGCTGGTTAACTCTGCCAAGGCTGGCTCCCATTCCTGGACCAGCGGAGCTGGAAGAGGCAGCTCCATGGGCTCCACACAGGAAAGGCTCACTGGTGCCGGAACATGCAGTGGGTCCACAGTTCCCATCACCGATATGCCCAGCAACCTCACCTTAGAGCAAGCTGAGGAGTGCAATCTCTGTGACTCAGCAGCATCCCATGGGTTCCCTGAGGTCACTGGTAAGGATAGGGCATGAGTGGCCAAAGGGGGCCCCAGCCCGACTGCGAGATGAGTGCTGGTGCCCGTAGTGCTCCGTAAATGGTCCCCGATGTGGAGCTGATGATGGCGAGCAGGAGGAGGAAGACCCCGACCTTGATGTTGAGGAGCCTCGGGTTTCTGGGATAAAGGTGGGCCCAGTCCTGAGGGAGTGAGTAATCAGTCTGACTCATCTGTCAGACCGGAACGAGGCCGGACCTGGTGCCAATGATGGAAGCGGTACCACTGGCACCAAGTATACCAGTGACTGAGGCAGCATCAGCCCCCAAGTCACCAGCAGCAGTGGAGGGTGGTGAAAGCTGCTAAGGTAACATCTGCAGGACTCACTGCAGCAGTGCTGAGGAGTGTCCTGGCACTGAGGTCCTTTGCATCAAGTCTGGTACCTGCCCTTGTTCCACAGACTGTGGAAGGGGAACATTGGGGTGCGGTGCTGAGGGACCCAAGGGATTCAGTGGCCCATCCAGCCAACAGAGCTATAAACGATGCTGACGTGGCAAAGTGCTGGGCCAAAGAAGGTCAGGATGGAAAGGTAGAGGAGGTCGGTAGCCACCTGGTACGCCACTGACATGAAAACTCTGCCAGCATCGGCCCCATTGGTACAGGATTCAACAGACGCCCTGGGGCCAGAACCGGAGTTTATAGTACGGTGTCTGTAACAGTGAGCAGTTATAGGCACCATCCCCCATGCCAGCAGGAGCCATGTGCAGATCCACACTCTTCCTGGGGGAGGCGGAAGAGTCGATCAGTCTTATGCAACCTTTTCCCCTGTGCACTCTATGGGGAATGGCTCCTGCTCCAGACTGCGAAGCAGCAGGACTTTCTGAACCTGAGGGCGAACTTCAATCCAAGGAGGGCATAAGGGTCAAAGCAGGCCACATGGCCTGTTCAACCCGGTGCTGTTTGAGTCTATTTCATGAATGATCTAAAGATCGATCACGACTCCTTGACATGGGCCTCTCCCAAGTACAGCAAGCACTGCATGTGGGGATCATTGTTTGGGGTCATTCCCCCCCACACGATGGACAATGTTTAAACTCTAGTGAGGGCATCACAGGGGAATACTTAACTAAATATAACTAACACTGAGGGTACTACTAACTCTATACCACTAAAATCAGAGGTTGTGAGGTTAAGACCACACAGAGCTCTGACTTCAGCCATGGGCAGTAAGAAGGAACTGAAGGGGGTCAGGACAGCACTGCCTCATATAGCCAAGGGAGAGGCTATGGCCATGAGGTGCAAGTGCCGCCCCTCTACAGGAGCTGCTAAGCAAAACTCTCTGGCTCTGATGCACTGGGCGTACACGCTCCTAAGTGGAATACATGGCTGCATCTACTCGAAGAGCCAGAGTATTTAAGTCATAACTATTTTAATAACAAGAGTTCCACTGGTGGATTTTAGAGACTCAAGGCTTGCTATCGAGCAATCGATATGTGTAGCATAGTACGTTTGTGCAGAGCCTGTGTACAGAGTACCTTTTGGACAGGTCTTTTCCTTCCCAGGAGTAGATGAAAGAAGATAGCATTGTTTTCAACTGTAACAATTTGGTTAATGCTGAAGTAGAAAAATCTCTGCCATCCAACAAATTTATTTGTATTTGTAATCACTAACGGACCTAATCAGAATGGGATCACTATTGTAGTAGGTATTGTATGAATGTTAAAGACACAGGCCCTGCCCTGAAGATTGCAGTGTACGTTAATAAAGATTCAGCAAGTGAGGATAGGTAACAGTACAAGGAAAGAGAGGGAGGACCAGGGTATGCAGCTGAATGGTTCAACAGTGCGTATAACTGGATTCTAAGAAATTAGTTTTTAGAAAAGATTTTGTGCAACTAAACAGATGTGTTAAAAGGATAAAGTAGATGGCATTTCTATTATAAAGTCTGACTTGGGTTTAACTGGTGTGCTTCAATTACGTCAGGCCAAAATGTGACATACCCTGATACAAAATTCTGTATAAAGTTATTTTGATTAAATAAAAACTCATAGGCTGTTGCTCATCATGGTCATACCATGGCATCAGGGCTGACTTCTGCTGTCATTTTCAGTGTCACTTCTGCTTTTTTTGCAAGTTATCAGTGATTGTGCTCTCGTTGTGTGGCATCCCAAAGGCCAGCTAGCACTTCCCTAAAATACTTGTATATGCACATTTTCATCATAACGGAGCTGAAAGGAGCAGGGACCTGTAGTACTTTCTCCTCCCCCGATTCCACCTAACAGCATCCATGGCTGTGTTTTAAATTACTCTAATATCTGACATCCCTTTATTTGTTAATAAACCCCTCCTATCCATAGTACAGATTTTCCCACTAAGAGAAAGCACATGCATGATAGGGACAGAAATGTTCTAAGAGCTAGTGGCATAGTTGCCTCCCTGTCAGTACTGCTCTATTACTTTAACTTGTAATAAATTCAGCTTCAGAGCAGTAGCTGAGATTTCTGATAGTTACAAATATTTCAGTTTGAACTTCTGTTAGAGTATGTGCAATATCAATTTTTAATCATTGTTTTAAGCACTGGTTTACAGTGCACTGTTTTGTTCACTAATCCACAGGGTCTGATGACAAACCCCAGGGATTTATACATAAACTCCTTACTAGCATTAATGAGTTAATTATCCCAATTCCTTTCAATTTCTGAAGAGAATAGAGTATGATTAGTGCTTTCAGAGTGATTCTTTTTATCCTACAAGTAAATTTTTTCCGTAAAGGAGAGGTTATTCTAGTGCATGGAGCTGAAAATTACTGTAACTTTCTGCATAGCTGTCATTTTTGTGCACATGGGTAATTTAGGTCAGGACTGAAGTCATGACAACAGAACAGCTTTTATGGATAAAGACAGAGCAAATGAACGCATTCATCATCCAATTTTAATGATACACAGTCGGCTCTAGAGACTATCTATTTGCCATGTGCCCTGATGACCACGTAGTGCAGGGGTCGGCAACCTTTCAGAAGTGGTGTGCTGACTCTTCATTTATTCACTTTAATTTAAGGTTTTGCCTGCCAGTAATACATTTTAACGTTTTTTTAGAAGGTCTCTCTCTATAAATCTATATATTATGTAACTAAACTATTGTCGTATATGAAGTAAACAAGGTTTTCAAAAGTTCAAGAAGCTTCATTTAAAATTAAATTAAAATGCTGATCTTACGCCGCCAGCCCGCTGCCAGCCTGCGGTTCCATTCACCTAGGCCGGCAGCAGGCTGCACAGGTCCTGTGGCCGGGACCCTGGCTAGCAAGGGGCCGGCAGCCAGAACCCCAGACTGGCAGTGGGCTTATCGGGGCCAGCGGCCTGGACCCCAGACTGGCAGTGAGCTGCACGGCTCAGCCCACTGCCACTCAGCCCGCTGCCAGTCTGGGGTTCCATCCGCCGGCTCCTGCCAGCCAGGGTCCCGATTGCTGGCCCTCCTTAGCCCGCTGCCGGTCTGGGATCCTGTCCCTGCCCACATAGAGTGGGTACCTACCTTCTCCCTGGTTCTAGCCCATTCTCTTTCCCCCCCCCCCCGCACTGAGCTGAGGGTGGGAGTGCACTGAGCACAGGGCTGGGGATGAAGGAGCAGGTTGGGGTGCAGGGTCTGGCCAGGAGCTAGAATGAGGGGAGGGGGCTCAGGGTTGGGGCAGGAAATTTGGGTGTGGGGTGCTTACCTGAGCAGCTCCCATTTGGTGCGAAGGGTGCAGGTGGGAATGGGGGGGGTGCAGGAGCTCCTGTTCGGTGTGAGGGGTGGGGTTGGGAATGTGGGGGGTGCAAGAGTCAGGGCATGGGGTGGGAGGGGCTGGGGACATGTGAGGAGGGTGCAGGAGTCAGGGCAGGGGGTGGGGGGGGGCTGGGTATGTGCGGGGGGTGCAGGGGTCAGGGCAGAGGGCTGGGGGTTTGGGAGGGGGGTGCAGGGGTCATGGGGTGCTCCCAGAGAGGCTCACAGCAGGGGGCTGGAGGGGATATGCCCTGATTTCACTGCCCCATCCCCACCTCATCTCCGCCTCCTCCCAGGAGCAGCAAGCGCACTGCGGCTCCGCTTCTCCCCCTCCCTTGCAAGGGCCATCAGCTGATCAGCGCCAGGGAGGGAAAGGAGGAGGGGCAGGAACCCAGCATGCTGGGGGAAGAGGTGGGGGAGGGGGAGCTTGCCTGCTCTGCACAGCAGCCAGCAGGACCAAATTTCTTCACTCTGCCCCAGCTGGGGGGCGAAGAAGAGTGAGCTGGGGCGGGCAGGATTTTTAATGACACGCTGTTGCCTGCCGGGGTCCCGGCCGCCGGCCCTGCTCAGCTCGCTGCCGGCCTGGGTTCGGCAGCGGGCTGAGCGGGGCCAGCAGCTAGAAGCCGGCAGGCAGCACCATGCCATTAAAAATCTGCTCGCGTGCCGTCTTTGATATGCATGCGATAGGTTGCCTGACATAGTGTTTCAGGGCCATTTTAATCACTCCACAGTCACGCTGCACTGTTCACTATACAGCTTGTTGCTTAGGAAACTTGGGTATCCTTTTACATACATTTGACTACAGGGCTTAACAATTATGTTATATTGATTCAAATGAAAGGGCTTTTTACATGGGGCATGATTTCCATAAATCTCTTAGAAGTGCATGTAGACTACACAGCAACAAAGCCAGTCACCAGTCAGAGAGGATTTAAACAAAACTTTATGCCTCTGGAAGAGTGTGGTATTCTCCATTATTTGCCCCTTCTCTGGCTTGTCTATTTTTATATTTAGAAATTAAGGTCTGTGTGGAATGCATTGTTCTTATTTCATGTTTTCTACTCTTCTTTTTTACAAACCACCATGATCATATATATAAATAAAACAGGCAAATTTTAGTATTGAATTTTCATGTCTTTTGGTTCTGTTTCCAAATTTATTTATTTGCTGTATGAATTTGGGAAAATTACTTAATCACATCTGCCTATCTGTAAAATGGGGAAAATGTTTGCCCATTTTTGTAAACTACTTTCTTCCAGAGGGAAGAGCATGATATGTGTTGTTTAGGTATTATTATTCAAATAATCTGATAAAGCAAGCAGAAGAAGTCCGTGAAGGCCTGCAAAGTTACTCCTTTTTAATTTAAAGCAAATGGCATCAAAACTATATGCAAAGAATTGCATTTTGTCTTCTGATTTATTCTATTGTGCTAATTCTTGCTGTTATAACAACTCCATTTTAAGTAAAGGATAGGCCTCCTATGGTAAATACTACATCAGTTAGTATTCAAGCAGTAACTACTATTTATTTACTATACATAGAAGTTCAGCTTCTTTTATAAAACTTCAGGGAATTGATGGAAGAGGGTTTAAAGTTTGATTTAGGTGATTTGCTGACCTCTGCTGGAGAAAAATTCTGTGCAACAGTTTGTTCATAGGAACACTAACTGTGATCATTCAGAATGTTAGAAAATATACTTGCAGTATGGCCGTAGCCACACTCTCAGTGCAGAGGTATAGTTAGAAGCTGGAATTAGTAATGATACAATATGAATTACTTGTTTAGTTATCTATAGTCTAATAGGGTAAAGTGGGATGCCAGTGACTCTATACTGACATTTGGTCACTACTATGATGCTACTAGTGTGAATGAAAACAGATTTGTCTTCCAGAACAAAGATGAGTGAACGAAGGAGTTGGAGTATCACTCCATTTCATACTGCAATACAGTCAATATTTTGGGCAATTCGGAGGACCTGTGGGCCCTTGGAAGCTAGTGAGGATGTGGTTTCAGTACCAAGAGAAGGTTCTCTCTTAGGCTATTGTTTCTGTAGCCTTTCTCTGGCACATTCAGCTACTCATGCAGTTTGAACTATGCCATCTTTTGCCTGTGATTGACACATTTGTCTCTCCCTTCATCAATTCCCCACTGGGTATCTTGCCATCCCTTTAAATTCAGGGTTGCCTGAACTGACCTTTCCACCAAAATTCTCCCCACTCCCGTTTTCTCTGTCACTGTTGAATACAACTATTCTCCTGGTCAGTCAGGCCTGGACTCTGGGGGTAATCTTCAATTCCTCTTTCTCCCTTTGGCATGCACCCTGGCTGTGTCCACATCTTGCGGATTCTTCCTATGCAATGTTAGTAAGATTCATTCTTCGCTGTGGCCACACTGCTAAAGCTGTTGTTGAAACCCTCATCTCCCATCATGATTATTAGAACTGCTTCCTCTCTGGCCACCTCAATATCCATGTTGCCCCCTCTAGGCCCTCTTCAAAATACAGTCTCTAAAGTAATCTTCCTGGCCCATATGTCTGTCTCTCTTTTTTTTAAATCCTACCAGCTGCTTCCCCTTCTCTGTTGCATTAAGTTCAAGTTTCCTGTGACCACCCTCAAGATTAACCACTGTTCCCCTACCTTCTTATCTCATCACCAGAACTTTTCCACTCTTGTGTTCCACCAACTATGTCAGTCATCTTGCTCAATTTGTCTGTTTCTCCTGCAACCATTGCCACACCTTCATCATCTTCCTCTGAGCTGGATATCAAAGCCCTACTACCCTCTCCTTACACAAATCCTACCTGAAGACCTACTTCTTCCATGGAAGTTGGAACAAACAGAATAAGCCACCTATTTCACTTATATATGCTGAGAGAACTACTCATCTATAGGGAAGGGAGCAGGGTCAAACGCTGGAAGAGGCATGGCATAAGATCCCTGGAATTTTAAGCTGGAAATTAGCATGTGAGAAGACAAAAGGAGTTGGGGCGGGGGAGTGCGGTGAGGAAACTTAATTTATAAGACATGCCTAATGTCACTCAGCCTACACTGTATATTACATCCCTTTCCCACCCCCATTCTTTCTCTTTATGGATTTTATGTCCATTAGCGAAAGGAACTGGGTCTTCCTATAAGTATGTACGTCACCTAGCACATTTTGAATAGCTTTGAAATCTAAATTATACTTTCTGTGAAACAGTGTAAAATACCAAATATAAAAGAACTTTCCAGTACCTGATCACAAACAAACTGTTGTTCAGCTGTTACTAAAGACTTGTGTGCTTCTGTTCTGCCGCTTAAATTTTTTTTTATACCCTAACCCTAAAGATTTTCCTCTGTTTTCAGGATATTCACGTTGTACAGCAAGTCTTTGCCACTCGACCTTGCATGTCGTGTCTGGGATGTGTTCTGCCGGGATGGAGAGGAGTTCCTATTCCGTACAGCCTTGGGAATATTAAGACTTTTTGAAGATATTTTGACCAAAATGGACTTTATTCACATAGCCCAGTTCCTAACAAAGTTACCAGAGGACTTGCCTTCAGAAGAATTCTTCACATCTATTGCTGCGATTCAGATGCAAAGTAGAAACAAAAAGTGGGCTCAGGTAAAGAAAACGTATTAGTCTCATTTTTTTAATAACAAATGAAGGTGTATTTGGCAGTGCCTGGGACAATGCAGAACAGAGTATATTTTACGGTTTGGTAGGCGTGTAGATCACTTTATAATGTTGGTAGGTGAACATTTAGTGAAAAGGCTGGTTGTCCTGAACATCTCCCCTCTGGAAATCAGGAGCTGGATCAGTACTCGTTGCAATAAAATTGTGGTGGATCCAAGCTTGAATAGTGGCAGTGTGGAGCGTTTTTCTCCTTTTTCTCCTATTAAAGGGAAAAGAGGTTAAAGAAAACTGAGACGTAGATGTTCACTATTACAACTTCATATTTAAACAAAAACAAAAATTGGTTTGGTTTGTGGGAAAAGATGAGACAACTGAATCCTCTATGAATTTTCTCCTCTCCATCAGCACTCTGTTGCCAAACTGTCCTTAACAGGGATCCTAGAAATCCAATTGCCCCAGAAAACCTAGAATTTGCATTTTTTTAGAGAATCTTTAGTTTTTACATTTTGTGAAAAAATAACATTTACTATTAACTAAATTTTACTGAAAGTACCAATGTCACTTATTCAATACATGCAACCACCCCCTCTTGTGGTTGATTTTTGAATGCGCTTTAAATTTACATAACTATACATACTTCAATAAACTGCTTCGGCATATAGAAATTATTCAACAGCATATGGGGGTTGTGTTTTAACACATCTCAAATTCCACTTCAGCCTCTAGATGTGAGTAATTAAATTATGAAAAGATGCTGAAAACTTTTGTCACCCGTAAAAACCATGTCATTGAATCATAGAATATCAGGGTTGGAAGGGCCCTTAGGAGGTCATCTAGTCCACCCCCCTGTTCAAAGCAGGACGAATCCCAAATTTTGTCCCAGATCCCTAAATGGCCCCCTCAAGGAATGAACTCACAACCCTGGGTTTAGCAGGCCAATGCTCAAACCACTGAGCTATCCCTCCCCCCATTGAGTTTGGCAAGGACAAATTTCATGCTGCTGGTAATATGCTGTTCTATACTGTGTATGCAGCAGCGCTGTTGATTACATTCAAAGACAGACAATTGTAAAACATATGGAAAGTGCTAAACATAAACTGAATGAAAAGAAACCAGAACTAGGCTAAAACAGCAGGGCCATCGACAACAGTAAAGAAACAAGGCACTGTGACTGGACTATTCTATTTTATCATAGTGATGGGCACTGATAGGCTTCCAACTTGCTTAAAATTGTAAATGTATCAATAAAACATGTT